TCTTCGGCCTACCTACGGTCACAAATCACCACTGCACATGTACCACAACCCCGACATTCCTGCTTGGAATGACTACTTTTTGGCTGGGCCTCCATGGCCCTTTCTTTCCCTTCTGTTTGGCCTGGGGCTGTATTATTGAGCTCACGCAATCTTTCGTGTAACTTGTAATGTGTCTAAAAGATAAGGCGGATGAACCGGTGTATTAAACGAAACGAAGGCGATACAACGTACATCGGTGAAGCAAATTGTTAAAGAAGCTCCTTATAAAGAGTGCCTTAGCGTGTTTTGGCGCGCACCAAATCGCGCACAGCTGTAAGGCATGATCGGTTTCGTGACTACAGCGTGATCGACATGATACATGTGACGAAAGTGTAACAGTTACGATTACGGTACAACAAAAAATAGCACTGCTCATAATTGGTCCGGAATACTTTTGCATAAATAATAAATTCCAGTGAAATATAATCTCGCCAACTTCACAATGCACATCGTTGTTTATTTAGGTTCAAATGGCAGATATAATGACAGCTCTTCATTACATTTTAACGGCAGAAATACCACGAAAAGCGATCATGAAAGGCGAAAATCTTACCGCTTTGAAACAATGGGTGCATGCTTTAAAAATGGCAAGTTTTTAATTTTTGTTGCTTCATATTACAGTTAATTTCAAACATTGTAATGTAAAAACGAAATGCAAACGAAATTTTTTGACAGCAGCTTTGCAAGTTTTTTTGGATGAAACTGGACGTCACGGGTTTTCCCCTATTTCAGTATAAGATCTTTGAACGGCTTATTAAATATACTTCTACTGCCAGCATGAATCGGGGACCCAGTGTTAGTGGTGTTCCTAGAATGCTAGGCTGAGTTATGCCAGGCCTTTTATTTGAGCAAAATTTCACTGCCATGAATAGAATCCAGTACTTGGACCAAGCTTACTTTTTCACGACGAATAACGCGTTATCGTTAGTAAGACCTAGGAAGCGATCCAATATCTTCCTTATGTTCTGCTTGCATTACAAGATATACAGCACAGTCGTTTGCTTAACAAACAAAGCAATTTTCATTTGTGGTATTTTTGTAAAACTGAATGCAGTGCAATTAATGGACAATTTTTCTACGTTTATTTCAAGTTTGTCTTTTGCTGCATTTTATTTTACGAAAGTACCACAAATGCGTTTAATTCGCTTAAAAAATAAGGCATTTTCAGTATGTGCCAGGAAGTGTGCCAATACGAAGGTTGTTTTATCGTTTAGACAATTGGATCAAGGACGTGCCAAATGAAGTCACGGCTGAGCAATGGTTGGCTAAAGTAAAAGAGATTCAGGTATTATTTCAACTTTTGACTTTCTGAAGTGCACGAACAAGGCCGACGTACCCGCTGTAAGCCAACATTTTCCGGAATGCGTGTCTCCAGGGCACAACCTGCAAAAACAATACATCTCACGATTTCCGAAGAGACGGTGTTTACGCTTAAACAGAGGCATCAAATGCAGTTTACACATTTCGGCTCACCGCATTTCTCGAGTTAATTCTCACTTTTGTTTAGCTAAATTCTTACGCCTTTCTAGTCATTTTCCTTTTCTGTTGTTTCTTTCTTTTCGCGATTAGTCAGATGGTGGTGAAGAAAAATGAGGGATGAGGAAATAGAGCATTAGGCTGAAAGAGGAAGGAGGCAAAAGTGAGGGTACTTTTTCCACTGTTCTTTTTGGTTTTTACTCCGTTTTGGTTTTTTTACCAAAACATACTTAAATATTTCGATACTTTGACCAATTACAATCACAGCTCAGTCTTCCAAATATCTTGCAACTTTCATCTTTTTCACTTACGTTGACCAGAGCTTCATTGCCTAGTGGTCATCTTTTTGGCGGCGGCGGTCCTTGTGTTCGTTCTGGCGCCTCAGACTTGGGTTACTGGAATGAGAGATTCACTTAAAGAAAACAAAACTGAATTTATTGTTTCTGTAATGCCTGATTTTCACTTAAAAAAAAGATTTTTCGCTATTAAGTCATGTCGAAATTCTCTTACTAGTGAAAGAGATCGATTGTACAGCAGAAAGTTCTGTTTTTATTTCAGTTGGCTAAGATTATGAGCTAATAGTCCTATATCTGAAAAAAATTTGAAAAAAATAAGTGATACAACACATGACCTCATAGCCATATACACTTGTTGCAAAATTTTGATTTTCCTGCTCGTGAAAATTCTTTATTTCACAATTTCCGTTGTTGGCTTTGACCATATTTGCTAGTTATAGCCCAGATATGGGCTTTTTTTGATTTTCAGCAATATCAATTTTTTCAACTTCACAACGTATTTTGGAAACGAAAGTTTATTTACGTGCATTTTTAGGAACAGCTTGGTCACCCACTTCCGAAAAATACCACATACATGGCATGTCGCGGATCAAAACCACATCTTCGTGGATTTTCCTGTGGAGTATGGACAATCATACATGCGATGAGTGCTCAAGCGTATAAACTCGAACAAAATAGTAAGTGCAATCAGTTACTAGTGATTATTGTTGTGGAACAGATAGAAACATTTGGGGAAAATACTTAATTCATGCTTAAATTATTTAAAAAATTCTTGAAAATGCTTAAAGTAATTCATTTCATTTTTTTTTTTTGAAAAAAATACGTCCCGTTCAGAATACGTTTCTTCTTCATATCTGTTTTGGAGTTTTCTTGATTTTATCGTTGGAAATGAAAGAAATACTCAACTCTTTATTCTTAGTTTCATTTTTGAATGTTTTTGCATTAATTTGCATTAAAGTAAATTCGTATGTGTGGTTATATCTTTTTTCTCCTTCTGCTCACAAAATGCAGAATTATTCGGTAGCAAAGAAACTGAAATTTTAGAAATTTGGTCGACATGACCACGTTCATCCAAAACAGCGAGTTTGTTGCCCAGGTCCTTCTGTGTCCTGATATATGAAACTGCTAGGAAAACGGTGCTGCCGCCTTACCCATACGACGTTTTCTTCGTTCCAGCGTGTTTTCTGTGGTAGTTATTAATAAGTTTGTTGACTAGTTCCTCAATTTACAGATCCGCAGTTTAATGCTAACGATGATTTGATCGAGCCCTTCCACCAGTTTATAT